TATTTGTTAATCTACCTCATGCTCATCTCTATCTTACAAAAGAAAACGCATTTATATTTTTGTTGTTTTATCTGACTGTATTTTATCTTGTTCTTTATAACAAAACTCCTTTAGTGTGTTACATTATTACACTATTTATTATTTGTATTGATGCATAAAGTTGTAAGCGGCATTTTAATGTTGAGGGGGTCTAGAATTGAGCTAAGTTTAAAAGAATTTATCGCCAAATGATCAGGTCTTTTGAATAAAAACCCTAATCCAGGCCTACTTCCATGTCCTCCATTATCAGTGTGTCTTACCAGCCGTTTCTGTGGTTTGATGAGCGGCCTGTTGATGCCGTTCATCTTGTGATAGAGGCCGCAGGCGTTACAAAGGTAGTGCCCGGTGCCGTCCCTGCGCCACAGCGGCGTGGACACGGAGCCGCAGTTGACGCACTCCCTGCCTTCAGTGCACATCTCGTCCACCAGATCTGAACACCGGGAAGAGACATATACTGGATTAGACTGAATCCACGTTGTAAGGAGAACATTTTAATTACGCCATCACCAGCGAGACCATTCAGATAAAAGGTATGAGTGTCAAACAGTAGACAGCTGTGCCATAGGCCATAATTAATGATATTTTAATTATTTCTCACTTAACTTTAAACTATTATGTTTCAAATGCATTTTTATCAGGACAACCCTCTATCCAACCGGCGCCATCTGTAAATCATTAACCTTTATTGATGTCCAATAATAGCCTATCCCTTTAATAATTCTAAAAGTCGAAAGTGTACTCCTGACCTTCTTTTTTGCTTCTCCTATGAGAAGATTCTGCTGTCTAACAGTTGAATGTAAAATCACAATCTGGAAAAGACAACATTCCTGTTTGCTAGAGAACTTTTAAAGGTTGCGTGGATGGGGGTTCTGTGTACGGGCCAATGCATGATGAATAGCCGGCGGAGGAATTTAAACCCCTCCATTCCCTGTGCAGAAGAGACATCAACCCCCCCCCGAATCAATCAGGAGACAGACCGATGGAAGAATCTGTTTAAGGGGGGCGGGGAGGTGTGTTATCAGGCTGACGGATCCAGGGGTCCCCTCGATCCATCACAGCTCTGACAGACGACGGACTCCTGGCATTAATTGCCCAAATTCCTAATCCCTCAGTTCAGAGAGACAGAGCAAGGCGGACCCGAGAGAGATCAGGACAAAGCTGTGCTGGGGCTGCCTTGCTTTCTTTGAACTTGTGATTTCGGTTTTTATTTTTGCAGAAGAACAAAATAAATGCTGAGCTGTTGGTTTGGGACAACCAAAACTGCCCTTGCGCTGTGCGTAACTTAAATGCCTAATCTTTTAAGATCAGGTTTAACTGTTAAATTTATAAGCTATGTCATAGACTGTATATTCACTATTAATTACCACGCACAACTAGGAAGTATTCAGTAACATCAATGAAGTAACACCATTATATATAAACATACAAAATAATACAGTGATGTATTCTTATCGATGTCAGGACCTTTTAAATTGTTGGTGTGAAACTCTTCCTTACTCAACCAACAAAAGACAAATAGACAAAATTAGATTTAAATGATTTTGAGAGGTGCAAAACAGTGTGAAGGCCAACTCATCCAACACAAACTGCAGAACAGGGCTCTTAACAAACACTTCAAGCACCGGTCTGATTGAAACACTCTTTTCTTTTATCTTGGACAACTTCAAACGCTCGTGTCCCCCAAATTCTAAATGATTCCTGCAGGTAGAGAAAAGGCCTGTCTGATCAAGGTGATAACGGCTCCGATTGTTGTGTCAATTGCTCTTTTCAGTGTGGATTGAACTCTGTCATCAATACACTGGAATGTTGCTGGCGGATTAAATTAACGTTTTAATTGATTGCTTTTAGCGACCCTCTCTTCTGAAGAGTGTGTATTGTCTAAATGTTGTAGGGTTAATGTAGGGGGATGTTTAGAAGACTTTGATTGAATCGCGTCCTCACACCCCATGACACAACTATTACTGTTTTGGCCTCTCTATGACCTCCTGTAATAAATAATAGCCACAGCCTCATATAATCTGGCCTTTACAACACTTGATAGTAAACTTTAAAGAACCAACCACTGCACTGTGGGGGGGGGTCGAAATAACGAAAACATACACAGTAAAAATAATTGATTTTAGTAAAAAAAAATAAAAAATTAACAGGGCCATATAAAGCGCAGAAATCAGCCAATATTGATGTACATTGGATGATGTCTTGAGATCAATTAAACAGCAATAGTCATGGAGAAATATGGACAAAAATCGTTATCTGTTTTGGATTTAAAGTATTTGGAGATGAAGGCCTGCAGGCTAGAGCATGGGGGCTGGACATTATTAAAATTAGAGCACAAATAAAACAAAAATCCCCACGAATCGTTTTGAGACAAATTTAAATATACAACCGTCGAGTATTCACGGCCAGATCAGCTGCTGGTTGTTTGGCATCATGACAAAATTATATTTGCAATAATAAAAAATGCTCCACTTTTTCTCATATTTCTTCTACTGATTTGCGCTTCTTTCTTTTCAAAATTCTGATATTACATTTCAGGGTTGACCTCAAGAATCAAAGTTCACTTCATGTTCGCTAAGCAGAGGCTAGGTTTGGGACCTATGCTTACCCAGACTGGACTTTCTCCCAGACAGTCCTCCATGTCGTCCCTGCAGACTTATCACTCCGCTCTCGAAGGGTCCAGGCGTCCAGGAGGACGTCGCCATCTCCGGGCTCATGTACGCATAGGGGCTGGAATAGGAGCCTCCAACCGAGCGCACCAGAGCGCTTCCGTACTGATCCGCCCGTGCGCCGTTCCCGAGAACCAGTGGGCTCTGGTAGGTCGAATCCCGACCGGTGTTGCTGTTGACGGGCGGGCTGTGCGAGTAGGAGAAGCCGTGCGGAGGGTGAGGGCTGCTGGGCGTGAAAGAGGAGCCGTCATTGCCGGTCTGAGGCCAGCCATGGTGCCCGCCGATGCCGTGAGACTGGTGGGAAGAGTCGCAGGTCTGCAGGTAGGGCAGGGTGGGCAGCATGGCAGGGACTCTGGTGGTGGGGACGTAGACCGGAGAGCTGGCCGAGGGGTGGATGTAATTCCCGGTGTCATGCGAATAATGGGACTGGTTGGAGGACAAGGCCAGGCTTTGATACATTTTCAAAACTTTTCCGTCCTGTTTGGAGTATGGAAAATACAGGGAGGATTTCTTAGGCTGGTCTCAATCCTGTGGAGGTGATACTGTCCACGCGTAAAGGCACTTCCACCGTCTCCAAAAAGAAGTTCCTGTGCCTTTTTGAATGAAAATCGTGTGGAGATTCCGTCCTATGAATCAAATAATTACAGAGATAAGTCATGAACGTGAGAGCAGAAGAAAAAACTTTCATCATTCACGCTGGTAAAGTTCCAAGGCATCTAATTGTATCTGTCATATGAGCTAGTTTTATGGTTTTAAAATCCAAAAAACAATCGTCATTGTTGTCATTTACTAATAAGAAACTAATCTATTTGGCTAAAGCCACGCATGAAAATAGACCTGAAAAAAGTCCAACACTCATTCAGTATCATCAGTCATATTTCACCTGTATCATTCTGATTGACATGCAATGGATTAAAATCACATTACCAATCGCTGATATCTGCCCTAGAGGCAACTATCAGCGACCCCAGATATCCTGCTGCTCCGCAGTGCCTCATTAAATCATAACCATAACGGAAACCAAATCAAACAACACAACAGATAGCAAGCTCAGTTCCATATCTACAATGCAATGTATTTTCTCTATATCAACAGCAACTCAAATCACATAAAACGTTGATAATAGCACTTGCTGCGTACGGGAGGAACACAATTTCTTTCCAAGGGCTCTCAGTGTATTATCTCACCAGATAAGGACGGTCGGGTGATAAAGCAGTCCGGTCCTTTAGTCGTCCAAAACCTCAATAGAGGAACGCACCGGGCAAACCTTGTCACTCCACACAGATAGAGAAGGGAGAGGGAGCACCGCGGAGCGTCTCCAAATTGTTTTAACGCGTAAAAGTTGCGCGCAGTGATCGGAGATAAATTAAACCAAAGTTGTTTTTTTGGTCCAGGACGACTGCAGTATTTCTCTCCCTGCCGGTGTATCTGGAGATAGTAACTGTAGCTGATAATTGCTGATATGGGTGTGCTCCTATTCGCTCCTCAACTGGAAAATTTGTACGGGAGAAAAACACGTGACGCAGTCCACTGCTCCGAGGTAGGCCGAGGTGGGGAGAGAGGGAGGGCGGAAGAAAGGGAGGGAAGGAGGACCCCTGGGTGTCGGAGAGAGGAGGAGAGGGCCCACAGCTGAGGGCCGAGGGGTGTAAAAGTAGGCTAATAGCTTTAATTGCACCTGTAGTTACCTTTTGCTGGGTGTTAAATCTGTGTTTTATATTTAAGAAGGGCACCACATTGGAAAAACGTAAATCCAGGAACAAGAAGGAGAAATCCAAAAATCTTAAGGAGGCCCGTTTCTACAGGCTACTTGGTTTTTTAATACGTTTTGTGCAAGAAATTACTCTCATGTAGGGGATTTCATTGTGTGCAATGGTAGGCTATTTAGGGAGATTATGATTGTGCACGAATTCCTTTTCTGGTGGTTGTTTATCTTATGATGATAATCCATCTTTAAACTCACAACATCATTAAACAAGATTAGATATTATAGCCTCCTGGCCTCACCTGCTCTGCCTCTTACTTTAATATTGAATCGATTCCAAATTCAAACTGGGGGCCTAACCAATTTAATGCATAATAAGTGACTATAAAATAACGCACCTAACGCCTTCATTATATTGATTTAACACGTGTTGCTGAGTGGAAAATAAAAACACATATTCAGCAAAATGTAGCTCCCTGCAAAGAGAGAGTTTTTATGGCGAGATAAATGTGACTGAGTTCTCTGTAAAAGCTCCGATAAGAAATACGACCAATAACTAACCGTGGTGTAAGAACAATAACTTCATGTTGTCCCGAGCTGCTCAAAGGAGACAGTGGAAATAATGTAGCAGCATGAAGATGTGAAAGGATAATGGACACTGACGCTAAAATATAATACAATAAAATATTATATTATAATTATATATATATATATATATTATGCCACAACCAATGTCATAATTCACAGTAAAAGACCAAAGCACAATTGTTTTTGCTGATAATCAGGGCCTATATAATATAGTCTATACCTGACGACTATACAGTGTATATAGTCGTCAGGTATAGATTATATTATATAGGTATTATAGATTATATAAATATGGTGGGTATTTTTCGCAGATTCCTTTATATATTTAAATTTAACTTGTTTTTGGACAACAAAAATCACACACATAAAGGATTTGGTATTTCTCCGCCACAGTGAGGCTCTGAAAAACAATCTAGACCTTCAGGTGAAGAAATAAAATTTACGGAAAATATAGGGTCATAAATAAATAAATAAAATGAAAAATCTGAATAATTAACACATTTTTCAGACTTGAGAAAAAAGGTTTTTAATATTTTGAAATACGAAAATCTATCGTATTTGTTCTTAACATTCGTAAGAAAAGTTAAAGACGGTCATCAGATCAGAAATACAGTTTACATTTTCATCTTACATTTTAAGGCCTTTAACGTAAGTAAACACTTTTATAGACCTTTATAGCACAGCCCGACGAAGCTTATTTTCGATTAAGAAAATCAACAATAAAAGTGAAGGTGACATCATGAAAACAAGAAATTATGCTCCTTAAAAATGATCTTTCGTTGATTGCATAATATTCAGAGCATTGGGCCTGCTATAAATATCATTACCTACATATTTCTCCGTGCAGCCTGGCTTTCCTGTGATTTAGTTTTTATTCAGAACCGCTTGTAGATGAGTCACAGGCCTTTCAAAGACTAATAACATTAAGGACTGACACTGTAAATGTCTTTTGTCTCGAGCCCATTAATTAATCCTTCCGTTAGTGTTCCACATCCGTCCATCTCCGTCAAGGATGAATGGAGTCTGCCTGTCTGCTTCCCTTCATCGTCTAAATGCCGAGCACTTGATGCCGATTTGTGAAACGGCTTCGCACCACACATCTAGTGCTGCCTGCAGATATTTAGGCTACATTCATATTTGTAGCATTTGAAATAGCGTGCGTTTATTTCACCGCTGACAATCATTAAGTGGCCTGTGCAATAATGCAGACCTTGTTAGTTTATATTAAAATGTGACACAGAAGATTTAAGATTTTATTCAAAAATTATTAGAGATAAATTTCTGTTTCTACAATTATTATTTTTTTGCCTCTTTGCAAGTGAACATTCAGATTAACTTTGGCTTTACATGATCATAGTTTTTTTGAGATAGGCCTACACTATATTGCCAAAAGTTTTGGGACATCTGCCTTTATGTGCACATGAAGGTTAATGACATCCCATTTTTAATCTGTAGAGTTTAATATGGAGTTGGCCCAGCCACTGCAGCTATAACAGCTTCAACTCTTCTGGGAAGGCTGTCTACAAGGTTTAGGAGTGTGTTCATGGGAATTTTTGACCACATGCAACCAGGGGGAGCCGGGGATTGAGCCGCCAACCTTCCTATTAGCGGCCAACCCGCTCTATTTCCTCTGCTCTAACTCATCCCAGAGGTGTTTTATTGGGTTGAGGTCAGGACTCTGTGCCGGCCAGTCAAGTTCTCCACACCAGATTCGCTCATCCATGTCTTTATAGACCTTGCTTTGTGCACTGGTGCGCAGACATGTTGGAACAGGAAGGGGCCATCCCCAAACTGTTTCCAGTTGGGAGCATGAAATTACAAAATGTCTTGGTGTGCATGAAGCATTAACAGTTCCTTTCACTGGAACTAAGGGACCAAGCCCAACCCCTGAAAACAACCCCACACCATAATCCCCCCCTCCACCAAACTTTACACTTGGCACAGTGCAGTCAGGCAAGTACCGTTCTCCTGGCAACCGCCAAACCCTGACTTGTCCATCAGATTGCCAGACAGAGAAGCGTGATTCGTCGCTCCAGAGAACACATCTCCACGTCTCTAGTGTCCAGTGGAGGCGTGCTTTACACCACTGCATCTGACGCTTTGCATTGCACTTGGTGATGTCAGGCTTGGATGCAGCTGCTCGGCCATGGAAACCCATTCCATGAAGCTCTATATGCACTGTTCTTGAGCTAATCCGAAGGCCACACGACGTTTAGAGGTCTGTAGCTGTTGACTCCGCAGAAAGTTGGTGACTTCTACACACTGTGCTCCTCAGCATGCGCTGACCCCTCTCTGTGTTTTTATGTGGCCTGCCACTTTGTGGCTGAGTTTCTGCTGTTCCCAATCGCTTCCACTGATTTTAGACACCTGTAGCCATGGAAGTAATTGGAACACCTGAATTCAATGATTCGGAGGGGTGTTCTGAAACGTTTGGCAATATGTACGTATGGGTCGACAGAGTTACACCCGCTGCAGCAGCCAAGCCTCCAAAGCTTCCAAAAACACATACAGTTATTACTGCACAGGTAATTCCTGTGTTGACATCAATTTAGCCTCCTTATCTTGGGTCTCAATTCTAGTCACAATTGGAATTTCATCACCCTCATATTTATAAACTCTGACTCAAAAAAGGTTTAGATATTATCTCCATATGTGTTAGTGAATTAAGTGCAATAATGACAACTACCATCTAAAGTATAACAATTTATTTATATCATTTACATTAGAATTTTCCAAATTATAATGTAAGTTTTTTAATCTTACTGTAATGTTCTGATGAAATCATTAAAAATTCATAAATCATGGGCAAGGTGATGCTGAGTCACATAATTGGGCAGCAGCAGCCGCAGCAGGCAGCAGGATAGTCCACAGCACTGACTTTGAAATCTCTCCCGTACACAAAGAACACATACGACTCTCCCTTCCATTGGTAGGTTACCTTGGTAATAGGAAGCAGCTCAATGGTTTGACGCTAGAGAGAAAGAGAGTAAAGAGGGAAGTTTGTCAACAAGATGAACACATTCCATATAGGAATACAGACTGTGTGAAAACCTCTGAAAATACCTGCTGCAAAATGCGTGAATATTTCAAATACTTGTCTTGGTGCTCTCTCAGTAGCCTTTCTGAGACTTGTACCACTGTTGGGTCAGGGAAGTTTGTGACTGGATAAACCTGCATCATAAAAGAAAGTCAGCATCTCTTTATCTGATTATTTTTTGTTGTTGGATAATTCTTTTTCTCTTTCTGCTGATTGCTTTTACCATGTAGTTAGAGTCTGTGAACAACTCCCTTCCAGGCACATTGTCCAGTTTGGACATCTTTAAACCACTGGATTGTTCAACAGTGTGTTCTTCAACATCGTTATGCCTGCAGAGGTATGAAGTATAACAAGGCAAGTTTATTTGTATTGCAGCTTTCCAAAAAAAGGCAGTTCAAATTACTTTTAATGTGAGACGTTGGTACCATACATTTCCACACAATCATGTGAAACAAACACATAATTAAACAAATGAATGCCTTTAACTGCCAGTACTGACCAATAAAGGGAAACATAAAGACATGTTTTAAAACACAAAGCCAGAAAAACTACACTGACCAGTTCACAACAAGGTTGAGGGCGGCTATGACCATTTTCTGGCCTGAGCAGACATCACATGTGGTCTCACCTGTGCCACCGCATAGGTAACAACTGTTAGGAAAAATTATTAGGTATATGTAATTGTATTGGAAGATGTTTAGCATTGTGTATTAATTTTTTATTTTTTTTAAAGATAAGAAATCCTACATTGTCCTCCCACTTCCACCACAGACGATGCAAAACTGCCTGTTTTGACCATAATAGACAGTACCAAGCCCACCACACCCACTGCATATTCTCTGAAAGACAAATAACAAGTAATGATGAACCTCATCTCCGGTATGTGAACGCCTTCTGTCAAAGCCTGTGATGGTTACTCACCCTTCCAAGCCCGCCACAGGAACCGCAGGTTGTGTATCCACTAGCAGAACAGTGAGAGCATCTCTGTTGATCAAATGAAATTCTGTTAAAAGCATCGAAATGTTGATATTGAAACAGAATAACTGAATCCAATGAGTGAAGGTGACGCAGCCTGTGGTCTAGTTATGAAAACTCTGTTTGCATTCAGCTAAAACAAATAAAATGTATATACCGTCTTGCTGAATGAGAAGATTAATATAACTCTACGGTATGCATAGTTAATATGTAGCTGGAGCTAGCAGGCTGTTAGCTTAGCTTAGCATAAAGACTGGAAGCAGGGGGAAACAGCAAACCTGGCTGTCAACAAAGGTAACAAAACCTGCAAATCATCACCTGTAATGCTTAACATGTTGTGTTCTGTTTGTTTAAGTGTAGGAGTGTGAAAACAATAGGTTTATAGGGTGGTTATGCTGCACTGTTTCTTTGTCGGGAGCACTAAGGCCCCATCTGCACTACTCCATTTTTGTTTTAAAACAGAGAATTAAAACGATCTCTGTCCACACCAGCATCTTAGCCGCGTATCAGAGTTGATCTCCGTCTACGACTGAAAAAGCACATCTAGTGGCCGTTCACGTACACTGGGAATGCGCGTGCCGGTGTAAACATGAAGCAGATGGTCCATTCCGTAGTTACAGAAGGCGAAAAAATAAAGTACTACAGACAAAGAACCACACCATATTTTTTTTGCATGGACCAATAACAAGCTGGGACCGTTACTGAATGTAACACAGGAGTGTGGCGGCCGAAAACCGACTGAGAGTCGTCACAAAGTAAATACGGCGACATGCACAGTACAAGTGTAGGCTATAAGTGTTATTTGCACAGTACAAAATATTTTAAGAAAAATACCCCGTCAAAAACTCTGTCAGTAGCATCGTGTTTCTACTTTGCATGACTTATAAGACCCAATCAGAGAGGCAAAAGTGAACGTCTGCGTCATCGTTTCTAAAGTCCTCCATCTTCACTAAAACGCTTCCCCGGAGTTTGAAAACAAAAAACAGGGTTGGCAGCGTTTTCAAACTTCTCCGTTTTAGGTCTTTGTTTTCGTACAAAGGTAGCAAAAGGTCTCCGTTTGAAAACGAAAACGCAGTAGTGTGGATGGGGCCTAACTTCCTGAAATCTCAGCTACATCATGACCACTTCAGGACTGCCTGTAAAACAGCAACTTACCATTTTTAAAGTTTGGTTTATGTCTGTTCATCTATTCTCCTTTTTTTGGCATTGATATTCTCATCTAACTCTCAGCAAAAAAGTAATAAGCATATTTCCCAAGATGTTGAACTCTTGCTTTGGTATAATATATGCTAGTTCACTTCCCTGCTTATACCGCAAGCCGAAAAGTATTATATTTGTTCGTGAGCTTGCTAGTTAACACATTAAATGTCATCGCCCACTTATGTATTATGTACAGTGTGTTCTATTGTGTTATGTTTGTGTAGTTATTCCCTCCTGAAAGTTCAGAAAGACCACTGAAGCATTTGTAGATCAAACTACCATCACAGATGCTGTGTGTGGAATCTCAACGATGTGACTGTCATCCTGAAAAAATGGGGGAACATTAACTGGAATCTCCCACGGCCCGGGCGGGGTTTGTCCACTGTTGTCTATTTTCTCACCTGACATAAACACACCATATTGTTAGAGTTAATGTGTGAAGATAGAGAAAATGTGTTGTCTCAGATGCATGTTTGCAAACAGAGCTTTACCATAGTGCGGCCTTTCACTCCTCTCTGTAGTTCGTGTCTCAGTAAACGTCACCAGGCGATACTAACGAGGGCAGAGCATGAATAGAGCAGAGTGAAAACACAAATTATAAGAAGAAAGAAGGGCCATTTGCCCCATATGTTACACCTTAATCTTCAAAAAAATCACACTTAGATTCTGCCAGTTCATCTCTATTAAGCTTCAGTATATTAAGGAATTTCTTGCACAATTACACTTAAAAATATATAAACACTTGCTGTCCTGTGTAACAAAAGATGATCACATATAATAGGCTACATGTATTTGCTTTGTCTGAGGGGGATAAGACTGCTTTGTAAGACTGGGAGATCCTCTGAGTGACAAAATCATAAATATAACATGCAGTTCCATGTCTGTAGTTGCTATGTTTTAAATATTCTAAATGATTTATGGAGTCTTCGTCTCCATTTCTGCCGTGAAGTGTCGGTGTGTGTCTTACCCTGTATGTATCGAAGGACTCCATATTGGTGATCACTCCCTGCTCTGCTGGCTTCGTGCTGTAGCAGCGTTTATTTGATGCATACTGGATGAAGGCTTGTTGAGCATCATCCTTGCTGAGAGATGGGAAGCTGTGAAACAACAGACAATTCTGAAGGGGTGGGCTTTGAAAGCAGTGGGCATTTAGAAGGCAGGGATGATCTCATGAAAGACAATGCTGATTTCATTATGGGAACTGTAGGATGTTAAAGTACCCCCAAATTAAAAAACATTAAATATCCTGAGGGATTTTATTTGTCACTACTAGTACTCTTAAATTTAATTATGTAAGAAAATCCTGCTTTTGTTTAATTATAAACACCATGGGAGTCTGTTTAAATTTGCTAAATTTGTTTATATTGCTAGTGAATGTGTTCTTGTATCTGTTTTTAAGTTATTACCAAACTTCAATAAACTTTATTTGGATTCAATGAAGAGAACAAGAACAAGAACATATAAACACATAAAAATGTGAAAGGCACTATACATATTCATAACCAATTATTTTAGAACTGATGTAATGGGTATGGTGTGCAAAATAAATGTGAAGCCTTACTCCCAGTTTTGAAATGATGGTGGAGGTACAGGTTGAGGTTGTTGGTCGAACAACATAGGAGGGGGAAGGAATCCACCTGCAAAAGGTTTAGCGATGCTTTACATGAAGTCACTAAATGTCATACAACAAGGGATCATTCATGGCTGTGCAGTGGAATCACAATGACCATGTTTTAACAATACAAATATCAGTCTCAGCAGCTGTGTGTGCAGCCTGTTCTTATGATTCAAGCCGTTTACTGTACCTCCACCCTCTATTAGCATCTTCTCATAGCCAGGTAAACTGTTGTATCATGGAAATGAAACAGCAATTAGTGTGTGTAGAAAATCACATGTTTATTTAGATTTAGATCATTTGATCTCAAAGATTTAAAACCATAAATAATAAATTAATAGATTAAAATGTAAAAGAATCTAAGTAATAGTTACATACAGATTTTTAGTACTTTCATCATTTGTATTCTCAGAAATCAGAAGTCCAAATTCCAAAAGGTGAGTTCATATTTCATGATGACATTTTTCCTAATGACTCCTGTATTTCATGTCACCATGTCACTGCTCCCTCATCTTTCAGCTAATCACATATCCCTAGCCTCTCTGGGCAACCTCACCAATTGCATCTTGTTGGCCAGAGTGACCACAGAGAAGTACTAGTTTTCTTCTTTATCTTCACAGAGGTGAGTGTTTGTCTTTGAAAAAGATTTAAAAGAATTAAAACAATACTAACGTTGAATTTACAATCTAACTGTGGCTTCAGTTTGACTTAAGAGCCCAAGTCAATCTAGCTAGTTACAGCTATGTATAAGTAGCACATGTAGCTTATTAAGCTAAATGAAACCAGATGTTTTTACTGTGTCTGTACTGTGCAGCTAGCAGCTAGTTGATTTATTCAGAATTACTTAGACATTATTGTTGCTTTAGCTACAGTAACCTGAGCTAACTGGCTAAATTTAGTGGCAGCTGTTGAGCAGCGCTTACAGATGCTGGGGGCATGTGATTGGCTGAAAGGTGGGGAGGCGGTATCTCAGCCTGTTCTCATTCCCAAGTTATCAAATCCCTAGATTTGTCATTCTACTAGCATCTCATACAGAAGCACGAGGTAGCCATTAGCATCTTTTTGAGATGCACCGGGCTGCCGGAAAGCCTTTTAGAAGTCAGGTGACATATAAAGTACCATAACATACAAAGTGTCTTATGTCACATGAATTATTACGAAAACACAAAAGTTACCCAAACCATGACCTCTTCCTATACGTAACAATGTAGTTTTGGTGCCTTATCCAAATCCCACTGGGTTATTTCACTATGTTAACTATGAGTTAAAAAGTTGTCCTTCTGAATGAGATGTTAACGGGTGCGACAAAGCGCCAGTATTTGACGACCTGGTTCAGTGGCTGGTAACTGGTAACTCTACTGTCATGAAAAGTGACATTATCAAAATCTCACGGTGTAATAATGAGAGATGATTTTGAAACGGGTATTTTGAAATAAAAAAGAATGATATTAAAAATACTGTAAGAATAATGTCATAAATAATTGAACAGTTTACGGGTTTATATATTTTAGCAGCATAACACTTGAGAGGCTTTACACATATTCATAATCTATCTATTGTACTCTGGTGTGCAAAATAAATGTGAAGCCTTACTCCCAGTTTGGACATGATGGTTGAGTTTCAGGTTGAGGTTGTTGGTCGGACAACGTAGGAGGGGGAAGGAATCCACCTGCAAAAGGTTTAGCGATGCTTTACATGAAGTCACTAGATATCATACAACAAGGGATCATTCATGGCTGTGCAGTGGAATCACAATGACAATGTTTTAACAATACAAATATCATTCTCAGCAGCTGCTTGGGCAGCCTGTTCTTATGGTTCATGCCGTTTACTGTACCTCCACCCTCTGTTGGCATCGTCTCATAGCCAGGTACACTGTTGTGTCATGAAAATAAAACAGCAATTAGTGTGTATAGAAAACCATATTAGTAAGTTTATTTAGATTTAGATCAGTTGATCTTAGACCTGTGGAACCTTAAAGAATAAATGAATCATTGAAATGAATTTAAAAAAATATATATATATTTTGTCATTGTCTTGAAAAATGAGATTATGAAATGAATGTGTCATAAGAAGAGATGCTTTTGAAACAGGTATTTTTAAAAGAGAATGATAATAAAAATACTCTAAGGATCATGTCTTATTTCACAATTTACTGGTTTTCTTGTATATTTTGCACAATTTATAAGGTTCCATACAACATACCTAAAAAGTATTTATGGTAAGGTGACAAATCAAAAACAAAGACATTTCTCAAACCTATCAGTTACATTTATAGCGTAGAATCTAAATATTATTTTATACTAAATTAATTATAAAGTATGTTTAAGGGTAGTAAAAAGTAAATGTGCAGGAGTTAGTGTGAGATGCCATAAAAGAAAAACATCAAATAATCTAAATAGGACAACAGTGTACCCAAAAACTCACTGAAACCAAAGAATCAAGTGACCACAAATATGATAACTGAGTCATTACAACCTTTGTTATCACTAATAAGTTTACTACAACCACAACTACATGTAAAACACTCACCTGTCTTGTGATGGAGAATCCATTATCACCCAGAAAAATCAAATAAAAGCACACAAAGACACAATCGTCAGTTTCTTTATAGCCATTTGAAAAAAATGGAAATAACAGAAATCCACAGTTCTCTTTTTAAACTTCCTCTTCTTCTTCCCTCTCTCATTGCATACTGTGGCTGATGTTGACACTGTTTAAAAGAAACATCACTTGAAATAACGTACATTAGTTTCTGCCTAGCATTGAAAAGAGTGGGAATAATATTAAGTAACAGAGCAGAGTAGAGTTGTGTAGTGTAGAAATGCTGAAATTCTTTGATTGCCCAAGTTGCATGCAATCCATCGAATCTATCTGCCACAGTTAATTAATGTCATGTCAGCCATGTTAGTTAGCTTATTTATCATGTATCACATGTACATTTCATATAAAACAGTAACACATTATTTTAACCCCCTTAAGTAATTACAGCACTCTGCGTGACAACTAGACAATCCGTCTCCCCGATGAATGTCATTAGATGTGCCTGAAATCTTTGGAAGAAAGTTAGTCAGTGAACCTTAAATTAATCAAATCACATCACAATTAAATTTCACTGTATTGTCTAAAAGAGTTTGATCAGTGGTGCAAAAAGGTACACAAGAGCAGCAAAACACAAATATAACACAAACGAAAATACACAAAGTAAACAAACAGGGAGAAACCATAAGGGGAACAATACCAGAAGAAGCTGTCGCCTTCTAGGCGTCTTTGTCATGTACATATGTTATCCTTACATGCAGTAACTGCAAACTACCCACCCTCCCTGATGTTCAGTTGTTCTTTTTGTCAAACTGCTATTTTCGATGTCAAAAGTGACGCTTAAGCTCAACATGTCCCAGATATAATGAAAAATTTTGACATTACAAAATATTCTAATGAATCATACCAGTAATAATCAAACGAGTATTCACTCATACGGCCTCATCCTCAATCATAATACCCAACCATAAACTCTGTGTGCACCACATGCTGTAACCTTAATCTTTCACCCTTGAGAAAAAGCCAACGAGATGGTTTAGCACATGGAGTAATTCTCGTCTCTCAGTACAGGATTCAGATAGCGACCTTATGAATGAGGTGACTGGTGAGGGCTCACTCCGCCACAGCCTAATTTACACAGTCTATCACGGCACTCAACACGGCTGTGTGTCGGAGGGCCCGTGGCGCTATTACAGCTCCCCCCGGTCAGTCTTTGGTTATGTCAATAAAAACTGGGATCCGCAAATATGGCGCATTCCCACTGCAGGCCGCATATCTGTTGTTTATGTCAGTTTTTGGTAATGTTTCTGTGGACTGACTGATAGGCCTATCCACCAGGGAAGCATTTTCTCTGGATAGAAATGCCTTTAAACTTTGATCACTCTCTAATGTGTCACTGTCCTTTACGGCAGCGTTCTTTGGACTGGAATGGAATTTCAGCCTCTATCTTCATTTCACATACACATGCCTGCAAGATAAGTTTGGAATTTTCTAAAGGTATTTATTGACTATGAGAGAACAGGCTAAAGTTGTGTGTGTGTGTGTGTGTGTGTGTGTGTGTGTGTGTGTGTGTATGCTCTCTGTCTCGTTTTAGAGGCATTTTCTCTTATTTCTTGTCAGTAGTGCAAATTGATGCTATGATCACTCCAGATAAAATCTTCCCAGTCTTCATTCATCACTGAGAAAATGTTATCAACTCTAAACAACCCCTAAAATCATAATGAGCAGTTAGCAAAGACATGTTGAAATATCTCCTATAGGACTGGTAATGGTGCAGAGGAAGGTTAACAGAGGAGCCGACACTCAGAGAGGAGTGATGCGCAGATACCAGCTATTGTTACAGCTGATTTCAGCTCAGCGGGAGGCAGATTTGAGTTGCATTTTTCCTCTTTGCTTGATGGCAGATGTCTGCGTTCCAATATGTAGGGAGTGCGTTCAAATCTCATCTCTCCACATTGGCTGGATGTAAGTGATGTGTGGAGATTGTCTTTGGTCTGGAGAGACAGCAGAATGTGATGTATGGTTACAATCAGTCTGCTGTGTGCAGATCTGGAGACAAGATGTGCAGTCTGGCCACAGGAACCAGAGCATTGTTTTAGTGTGGGAAATAATGACACCTTATGACACACACACAGAAATGTTTGCGTGTCATTGGATATAAAACCCCCAAGAAAGAGGTATTTCTGTAGAGCAGTCTCACTGTGTGAGTGTGTGTTTTTCATTAATTAAATAAAATACAAAGACCCCTTTTTGTAGTTTAAAGAAAACCAGCTGTGTGTCTTTGATACATGTTTAAAAAGGTCATTGTTTCTTCTCATGACAATACAAACATTTAGAAATGGGTGTGTGTGTGAGGGTCAAAAAGACCTTCTGTTGCCGCGGGACAACAATATGCATTAGAGAGCTGTTGACAGAATTCCAACGAAGAAAACAAACAGCGTTAGTCACAATACAGGGAAATTTTTTTGCCGAAATTCCTCAACCAGTCAATATTTTAACATCGGCATTGCTCCTATGATGAATGCCCCTTTTAAGCATGTTCTTGTCAAATAGCTGATAACTCAGACTGGAGCTAAATTGTTCCGTAATTCTGTTTTCCCATGATGGATGTCTTCTTTTCAAGTTAATCATCGTTTTCTGCCACAAGCCTTTCCAAGACCTCCGGCAGACTGCTGTGGGCCGTGCAGGGTGGGCAGGAGGCTGGCCTCTTCCCTTACATCGCATCTCTGGCCTATGCTGTGGTCAGATCATCCCAAAAATGTGAACTTTCTCCTCTTCTCTAACAACTCACCCTCAGTAGACTTCTCCCAGAAATATGCCAGAGTACACAGGCAGCAGATAGAGGGGAAGAAAGGATTTAGAGGTTTGGAACACACCCCTGGTGCTCTGCTTGCCGGGGAATGTGAAGTAGGAGTCAGGCTAATCTCCAGCACCCATGAGAGACTGGCTCCTGTCTGCCTGGCTGCCACTTCCCTATCTGTGTGTTTCATTTCATCCTGTCAGGCCCTATCTGGGCTTCCAGTGATGCTGCTACTGCTGGGTTCAGACCCAGGGACAGCAACACCACTAGCCACTATATACTCACGTGGGACTGGGAATACTTGTCTTTCAGAGGAACAGTATCGTGTTATCATTTTATTATCTTTCATCAGTGATTCTGAGCCAATGTATAAACAAAGACTATTAGTTCTTGTGTTACATGTGTTAGTTTGGTGTAATGCATAAAAGGGAACACAGTCTATTGCTTTAAACATCAGTTTGATTGATTTAGATGGATTTATTTTCTATATCCTTATGTATATGTATATCTGAATAAAACTAAGAGTCTATAGCCTAAAAGCTGAAAAACTAAGCCGCACCAGCAGCTCTGTGAGGCCCATATATTAAAAACAAGAACAAATGTTAAGATCTTCTTCAGACATGTTTAAGACATATAAAAATACTGTCTGGAATAATAATTTGTTTCTGTGATTTAAGGTGAGCACAGAGAAAACTTTCCCCTTCAGCAGATGAATGTGAAAATAGCCTTAGTGTCAAACTCTGCACACACAGAGCACATTTGAATGCATCCGGCTGAAACATTAGTTTAGATGTGACCTATAAATTCATTATTCATTATTCATTATTATACCCTATGAATTATTATAATTTCCAAAGTGTAGTCACACAAATAATTTGCCAATAACGGCAAATGTTTTGCCGACATTAGAAATTATTTAGGTCATGTGATTCTACTATTGAATAAGTCTTCAAAGATACAACATTTTTACCGTAAAACACAGTACTTGGTAATAATAGTTAAATGCTTCCAGTAAATACGTGATTTTTTATATATATATTTTTACAGTTCATTCGGTTCAGTGTTTCTCTTTAGCTTGTTTTTGTTTGTTTGTAACATTTGTTAACATGAAAACTAGCACTAAACACCAAGTATATTAACGGTATTTTGGTCATAAACCAAAGAATTGGACAAATTAATTGGACAATGCTAAATGAAAAGTCAGACGTTCACCGAAGTTCACCAAAGTTCACAACTCCCATAGATGATAAATAAATAAATGTCTGTGCAAAAATCTATGCCAATTTGTGTGCAGTAATTCTTTCTGACCCTCAACCAGAAAGAATACTCATTTAGCTGGTTAAAATTGAAAAAAGATGGCTCAGAGATTGTCGAACATTTAACATATTTTTATTTATATTTTATTTTAACATCCATTTTTGTAACAATAAACAAATTTAACAAAAATATGTTTTAGAAAAATAGAAAAAATAGAAAAGGAACAGAAACAAAAGGTCTAGAAAGACAATGTTTTTGAGGGAAGGTGGAATTCCTTTCACATGAATTTAGGTGCATTCACCACTAGGTAGTTCATGTAAAACACTTCATTTTGATGAGCTGTATCTTACGGTAACATAATGGTCTGTGTGTACAGTTTAACTATCCAATAAACTATTAAATATTCAACACTGAGATTACTTATTTGAGCAATCAGTTCTCTTCTAAAAATAACATTTGTATAAACTGAACTTGACGGAAACATAAAGCTGACCACACATTTTTATAATGAGGAAAATGATTAATTAACATCTGACAAGTCACAAAAATACTGATGTATCAGTAATGGTTCACTGACAATGTATTTCATTTATTTCATGCCAAAACATTCTATTGCACAACATAATATCAGCTTGAAGTGACTACAGTGTTTTAAACTTTTTAATGGCTATTTTATTTTGGTTATAGTTATGGAAAGACTGCGACCTTTGGTTTAACACAGAAAGAGTCCACCATGAATTGATACACAACATGATTATCAACATCCTCTCTAACCTAAACCAACGCGCTTCTGCTGCCTAAGCCACAGACTGCGGCTCTTGATGCGAACCTTAGACTCAAAGTTCTGTGCTTTGTATACCCAGTCTGACCACCTCCCTGTGTGGTTCATCATTCACTCATAGACATATTGCTTGTGAACATAATCCTGGCAGAAACTGCGTTTGTCACCACAAAACCTGATTGGGAAACAATTACTATAGGAGACAGGGACAGTGTACAGGTAAATTCTACATTCTACAAGTAGTTATGTTTAACCCAGTAGGACACAGAAAGGTACAAAGCAAGATAACTTTTTTCAAAGAAGAGTAGAGGGAAACTACTGCATCACTTTGGTGTAGACTA